ATTATAATTAATGAAACTGATTCTAAACTTTGAGGCACAATCTTTTTTAATCCTATCCATGAATAATCACAATTTTCTCTTGCATGTTTTTTTGCAGCTCTCCAATAACGCTCAATAAAATTGAGTTCATAATGAAACTTTGGATAAAAAATACACTTATGACCTGCTCTTTCAATAATTTCAGCAATTGCACTCTTTTGAATAAGAAAATCTAATTCTAAAGACATTATTCTACGTGCATAACAATTAATTCGATTGTTATCATATTTTTTTTCTTTACATCCTTTACATTCTAATAATAATCCTTCATTAGGCTATTTTCCTCTTTCTTGTAATATTTGTTTTAATACTTTTGGTTGACTTCGAAATTTTTCATTTGGATGATCATCAGAAAACACCATTGACTGAAATTGATTATTAGGACCCCAATATGTATTACGCATTTTAGGTTGTGAACCACCAGGATTTAAATTCATTCTTCCTACTATTAATGCATCTTTTGCAAATGCGGCATGATTTGAACTATCAAATGCAAAAACTCCAATACAATTTGGATAAAGAGTTTCGAAAATAGGAATTACTTTGGTTTCTATTTGTTTAAGAAGATGTTCTGCTGTCCAATAACCTTCATGATCTTTGCCCGGTTCTAAATATTCACGCGCTTCTATTGGAACTATAGGATACTGTTCAATATCTGATAGTTTTAGTTTCAAACGTCCATCAATTTCTGTTAGAAATTCACTAACCATAATTGATCTACCATTACCTTTTTTCGTAAAGGCAAATCACCATCTTTAGCCCAAACACTACGTTGTCCATCATTAGAATAAAAAATACATTCATCATGCATAACTAAAATATGTTCTTTTTCTCCTTCTATTAAATTAGGTAAGATTCGATCCATATTTTCACCTTCATAATGTGACAAAAACTTTTCATATTCAAAAATTTGCTCTAAAAATTTAGCTCGATATTGGATTACATCTTCATGTTCATGTCCATCATAATATATACCTTGTTTCAATCTTTGTTTTGTATATCCAAGAATATGAAGCCAACGGATAGCAGTTGAAATACTAATATTTTTTTTTTTTTGTTAATTCCTAATTTAGGTAATAAATTCTGTTCAATAAATTCTTAAATTTTATAGGTGTCAATTTGTAATTTTGGTCACGAATCCAAGTATGACATTTTTCAGTAACATCTTCATCATCAATTAGTCGAATAGTTTTTTGATGTTTTCCTTGACGAGATATAGGAAGCATATCATGAGAAAGCCAATAATTAGCCCAATATCGTATTTGTCGTGCTTTCCAAACTCCACCATCAATAAAAACCATTTGTGCGACATTTAAACTTGCATTCATTTTGCCACCGCCATTTTTATTCAACCTTTTTAAATATTCAAAAATTGCCCACTTTTTGTTATATTCATTAGGTTTCATTTTATCATGAAAACCTTTTAATTCTGTTTTTAATAATTTTAATTTTATATCAATAATATTTGCCTTATAGCAATTTTCTTCTTCCGACTCACTATGCAGTTCAATATCAGCATCATCATCCGAATTTACAAAAATACTAGTATTATCAAAAGGTGGTGTTTCATGTACAGGAAAAAAACTTGTAATTTTCGAAGTACTGATTGCCGATTTTGTATATATACCATTTGGACCCCATTTATTATAATATGTTGATTTTGGTATTGTACCAGTTTTACCCCTGCTTTATTTATTTTATTTTATTTTTATTTTCCCCAGTGGCCCTCGTTTCTTTTTTTCAAATTCGTTATTTACATCCCACTTTAAATCTGAATAAAGAAAAAAAAACTTTTAATAAATTTTGTTATTTAATTATAGAATGTTTACTAAATAAATAATTACCTAATTTTATCTTCATAAAATTTGATTGAATTTTCTTTTCATTCTCTAAATTAATCTCACTCTCCCACCCACTATCATCACTATCGCCCCAATAACCAGAAACTTCTAACTCAGAAGCATCATTATCCTGATTATCATTTAGCTTTTTTGATCCAAATTTACCATTTGATAATCGAAGCTGTTTTTCATAAAGTTTTTGTCGTTTTTTGTTGGTGGCATGCTTGGTTAGAAAGTGAATTAGAAAAAAAAAAAATAATAATTTTTTTTATTGAGGAAAAAAAAAATTGCTTGAAATTGTTACTAATAGATAAAACCAAAGTTTCTTCGATAATCTGATGAATTAAAACAGTATTGTTATAAAAGATGGCATACAAAAAGCAAAAGTATCATTTAACGAAAATTTTTTTTTTAAAAAAAAAAAAAAGATTCCGATCACTGATCGCACGATGATCATGTGAATAAGGCTCGTTCGCTATTGGCTGAAACCTATAAAAAGTCACGTGAAATCGGTCCGAATTTATTCTATTCTTAATAAAGTTGTATAAATTTAAACCTTAATAACTCAGCCAAAAATTATATAATCAAAAAAGTAAACCGATAGATTGACGGTATTGACTTTAAATTTTATATAAATTTACAGGGTTAGTGATAAAAAGAAGTTACACTAAATTTGCGCACCATATAAATTTGATTAAGAAGATTTACCGCATGCATTTTTTCTCCCCAAGACAAGAATTTTATTTAGATACAAAATTAAATTAAACAAAATGCAAGCAGCCAACAATTCATATGAGTGGGTTAATTGGATTGAAGAATCAATTTCAAAAAAAAATATCAAATATTACGAATATAAACAATTTAGCAATATTCAAGAGATTGGTACAGGCAGCTTTGGAATAGTCTATCGTGCAAATTGGAAAAGTTCAAAGCAACAGCTAGCGTTAAAATCGTTTAATAACTTTAATAATGACGCTGCGAAAGAACTTGTTCGTGAGGTAATTATAAATATATGTATTTCGTTTTTAAGTATATGAAAACAAGTTATAATTTATAATTATAATAAAATTAGCTTGAAATTCAACGTGAAGTTGATTTTCATGATAATATTATCGGCTTTTGTGGGATAACTTCAAAACAAGGTAATCCTTCATAATAATGTTTATATATCGAATTTTTCTTTTATTTTAACTCATAATTTTTTTTTTATAAAAAAAAAAAGAAAATCAAAATGATCAATTGAAAAAATATTGGTTAGTAATGGAATATGCTGATGGCGGTGCGCTTAGAAGCTATTTGAAAGAAAATTTTAAAAATCTTACTTGGGAGGATAAGTATAACTTTGCATTCCAGTTGACTTGCGCTGTGTCGTGTTTACATGAAGAAGGAATTGTGCATCGTGATTTGGTAATCTTATGTTTATTATACTGTAGCAATGCCGTTTATTATTTAATAATTAATTTTTTTTATATGAATAGCATTCCGGCAATATATTAATTCGTCAAGGTGTTATTAAACTAGCTGATTTTGGGTTATCGAAAAGAATTGAAATATCAACTAATCAATCGAAACTTTTTGGTTCAATTCCTTATACTGATCCAAAATGTTTCAATAATCGAGCAAGTGACAATACATTGCGATATAAACCAAATGAAAAGAGTGATGTATACAGTGTTGGCGTACTCTTATGGGAGATATCAAGTGGACGTCCTCCTTTTTATGTTGAAGATCAAGTATATGATGTTGGTTTAGCTATAGAAATTTCACTAGGACATAGAGAAAGCGTTGTTCCTAATACACCCGAAGATTATAAAATCATTTATACCGGTAAATATAAATTTAATTAAACTTATAACGTGAATATTTTTCAAAGTAGATTTGTGATTTTAATATTTTATTTGTTCTTAGAATGCTGGGATAATGAGCCAGATAAACGTCCAACCATGAATGAAGTAGTTGATAAATTCTATGCAATTTTTACGATAACAAGCATAAAAGAAAATGATCAAAAAAATAATTCTGAAATTATTCATCATTCGGCTGATCAAAAGGATGTAGAAGAATTAGATTTAAATGTTGAAGTATCAGATATTATTTATGATGATACTATTGAAAATTTAACGATTACGGAATTTAATAAAGATGAAGAAGAATTAGAATTAAATGTTGAAGTATCAGATATTATTTATGATGATACTATTGAAAGTTTAACGATTACGGAATTTAATAAGGATGACATATTAAACACTTTAGGAGGATTACAAAGATATTGCAAATTAACTAAACTCTATTGCAATTATACTAAAATAACGAACCTACCACCTTTACCCAACTCCTTAACGATACTCAGATGTTATAGAACTAAAATATATAGCTTACCAACTTTACTTAACGAAACTTGATTGCTCTAATACCCCGATAACTATTCTACCAACTTTACCCAACTCCTTAATGAAACTTTATTGCTCCGATACTCAAATTACTAGCTTACAAACTTTACCCAACTCCCTAACGGAACTTGATTGCTCTGATACACAAATAACTAACCTACCAATTTTACCCAACTCCTTAAAGGTGCCCCTATAGCTATCCTACCAACTTTATCCAACTCCTTAACGGAACTCAGATGTTATCATACTCAACTAAATCGCTTACCAACTTTACCCAACTCCTTAACATTACTCTGGTGTTATAGCACTCAAATAATTTCCCTACCAATTTTACCTAACTCTTTAACGGTACTCAGGTGTAATAAAACTAAAATAACGAACCTACCACCTTTACCCAACTCCTTAATTTATCTTAACTGTTCTAATACTACAATAAGTATCCTACCAACTTTACCTAATTCCTTAACGAAACTTGATTGCTCAAATACTCGAATATTTCTTCTACCTACTTTACCTAACTCCTTAACGAAACTAAATTGCAAAGGTACTCCAATAACTATCCTACCAACTTTACCTAACTCCCTAAAAGAACTCCTTTGTAGTGCTAAGATAAATAGCTTACCTAATTTACCTAATTCATTAAGTAATATCGATCCTGAATATTTAAAAACTCAAATTGCTTAAATCTTTAACTTTTACATAACTTTTCTTTATGTTCAAGTTTTTTTGAAAGTAACTAGATGATAGACTTTCACATTTAAATCTCTTGTAAACAGGTTTTTTTATCTTTTTAATATTGGTGTCTCGTAAATAAATTATTTTACAACAAATTTTTAATGAATTTTATATTTATTAAAACCTTAATGTTAATATAATAAGCACTTCTAATATAAAATTGCAGAGATTTAGACCATTCTCAAGCGTTTCATACAGATGGGTTTATTATTAACTAAAAAGGCAAAGTATGATGAAGTCAAAAAACCTGGAATTATGGACCATCTTTTTTTTTATAAAGATACCAAAAATGGAAAAAATGGAGTATAAAAAGAGATTGCTATTACTTTTTATAC